CCGCCTCGCCCCGCTTGATCCCCCTCGATGTGTGCCTGCAGCACAATGGGCGCTGGGTGGCTCCTTTCTCTTCTTGTGCCACAACGGCTTTGCCTTTGCCTTTCCGACTCCTTTCCTGCTTCAAGCCGAGCCTCTTCAGTCCCCCGGCTCTGCATCTTCACAATCTCCGGACGCACGCTGATTTTCGCATCATGCTTGTTGCCATCGCATCATGTTTTCATTTCTCATTTAGGAAATCTCCACCTCGATGTGGCTGAACTTTGTCTTCATTGTACCTCATGACCCCACACCGCGTACTGTACCCCTTCTCTCTTGCGGGGGAACCAGTTGATGCAAAGAAGGGAAGTTGGTCCTGGTCCTGGGTCAACCTCTGACATTTCGCCTGATGGGCGCCGCGCGCCGCCCGACCCACGGAGCCCGACCCGGGGGCGCCTGAGGGAGCCCGGGGGCCCCGGCGTGGGGCTCCGAGCCGAGGGGCCACTGTGGGGTTGGGATCGGCTGCGTCTGGACCAACCGTCCAGTCTCCGACAGAGAAGGCCCCGAGCCCGCCAGCAGTCACCCGTTCGAGTAACTCATGTCCCATCGCATGATCTTGGCCCGCCAACTGATTCAGAAAGTCGCGTTCGTGCCGTCCTATCGTCGCACGCATGAGACCACCACTAGGCGAGAGAGAATGAACGACTGAACGCCCGGCGGAATCAGCCCGGCTGATAAGCGATAACTCAAATGTTAAAAGCAGGACCGATGGCATCATTACGTTGGGCCCACTGCAGACTGATTCCGAACACGCTTAAAAGTTGTGGTCGCGAGTCCATCTAACGGTTGGTTTGGCAAAATGACGACCAAAAGTTGGTGGTGCACGCTACCTTAGATGGCGGGAAGAAATTTAGATGGGAACGCGACCATGGTCGCGACCACTACCAACAATTAGATGGCGATTTTAGATGTGAACGCACGGAATTGTAGTGGGCCTCGCACTGCCTTTGCGATGTATCCGCCCTCAACTTTAGCTGGGTGTATACCTATTTTTCAGCGGCCCTGCACTGGTTTTGTGATGTGCACGCCCTCAACTTTAGCTCGGCTTTCGCTGTTAATGCGAGGGGTGTATGCCTATTTTTCGGCGGCCGAGCAATGTTTTTGTGATGTGCACGCCCTCAACTTTAGCTGGGTTTCCGCTCTTATTTCGATGTGAATATCCTCATATTTGGAATGAATATCAGTCCAATTTGGAGTGCCGATCCGATACTACCGTCCGCTCGGGCTGCGCTGACCGCCTGGCAAGTGCGAGGTTAGGAGGCCCCTCTGTACCTCTCACCTGACAGACGTTAAGCGCAGACCTCGCGTGACTTGTATCGGCCGGCAACATAAGGCGATGAATAAATCAATAAGTTGAACAAGTCAAGTTAAATTGACACTGCAGTTTTAATACAAACCAAAAATAAATAACAGAAGCGGGCAAAATGTTGAAGCATTGCAAAGATCATAAAACCAACTTCGAATTCGCAGGTCAGAATATTCAAAAAATCACTCAAAAGAAAAAAGGAACTATGAAATAAAAATATGTCTCTTCTTGCTGGCTTGTGTTTGAAGCAATTACTGGCGATTGTACCTGCAAAGACAGAATTTGTGATTAAAGAAACTCAGATTGAATTTAGGTTTAAGAAATTAAATATGAGGTACTTACATTGCTACTTTGCTGCTGCAAATGTGTTCCTTGTCTTATTTAACCTCACTGCGTAGATATTGCGACACTCTTGTTGCAGCAAACTGGCTATATTCAGTGAACATACTCACACAGCAGATGTGGTCGTAGATAACTAAATTAAAAAAAGGAAAAGAATTAATACATTTCAGGGAAAATGTACTGAAAAGCAAAACTGAGGTGAAATGTTTAATACCTGTATTGGAGTAGTTTAAGTAGTCCGCCTTAACTTTGTGAGATTCCACATTAGGTTCACCCTGTATCAGTGATATTTTAAAATATGAAAATATTTCTTTGAGTAGTTAAGCAGACCTTAAAAGAGTTCATTGGTTACCTTATTTGTAGAGCAGCAGCAAAATAGAAGTTGTAGTACGAAATACCAAGTGCGGACAATGCACAACAATCCACAAAAAAATCCACAGCAGAGGATATGAAGTTTTCTTGTTAGCTCTGAAGTGCGAAGTACAGTACACTCGTGCCTGCATTGATAAG